CGAAATCACGTTTATAGTCTATCGCTTTTGTTTAATATTGACAAAAAAGTTGCTACATAGAAAGGTGTGTAATATGATCGTATTCGTCAATTCTTAAATACGTTGCACGTCATCTAATTGGATGTTGGTAGTGTTGTATCAATCGCGATTGATTCGTTCGTTTTGATTCAATCACTTTAAAGTACTGAACGACCGAATCCCGCTAGTTCATAACGATCCAATCGTATGGTAAAAAAATCTATTGATCTACCGCTGACGGCGCCGATCCAGATGGAACCAAAACACAATCGGCACAGCCGATACTCGCATTACTTTCGGTCCTCGGTCGTTCCTCACTTGCAACGCAACGAAGACCGATATATGCCATACGGCCTTCGTTTAAATTATTGAAAAATCAAAATACTACATTATTGAATTAAGACTTGCGTGCAAGGTAGCTACAGCCCGGGATTATTCTTCTTTATGTGCCGTCTTCTACCGAAGGTTGGCGACCATCATACGATAGGTTTCTCTGTTTTGTGCCGCATGAATTATGTTCGCAGCTTCTGGTATTTGAAACTATTCTCTCAAGTTTCTCAGCCAGGATTTCTTCTTTCTGCCCAAACCTCTTCTACCTTCAATCTTGCCTTCCACGATAAGCTGTAGCAGACTGTACTTATCATTACGGAGCACATGGCCCAGGTATGACGCTTTCCTCCTTTTAACAGTTGTTAACAATTCCAACTCTTTACCCATTCGTCTTAATACCTCTGTGTTGGTCACTCTGTCTGTCCAAGGTATTCTCAGTATGCGTCGATATAGCCACATTTCTAGAGCCGCTAACTTCTTTATAGTTGCTGCTGTTAACGTCCACCCTTCTACGCCGTAAAGTAGCGCAGAGAGTACGTAGCATTTCGTGGCGCGCCATCGGAGGTTAATGCTTAGGTTGCGGTTGTTTAAAAGCTTTCTCATTTTGATGAATTTGGATCTTGCTATTTCAATTCGGATCTTAATCTCTACTTCTGGGTCCCACTTGTCATTCACTTACCGGGATTATTGGAGTTGGAAAATATTCTATCGGGCTCAAGCGATTGCTTTCGCTTGTGTTGTTAATAGTTATTAGGTAGTTAAAATCATAAAATATCGCAAAATTAAAATTTGCACAATGACAATAAATATTTATATTTGGATGAAGCACATATTTACATATAAAATAATTATTTCCGAGTTATACTAAGAACCTAAAGACAAAAACATAATAAATTTTACTTCTCGAATATTTTTTAAGAATCTAAGCCCTACTCGTACTAACATAAACGTATGAAGGAAAATGAAGGTGAATACACATATATGCATGTTTTTGTAAGTTCCCATAATAATATTATGACAGTTTTATTAATATTTCTTAAAAATATCACCCTTATGGTTCTTTATTTATTTTCAACAATAAAAAAAATTCGCTAAACCCTGGCTATGCATTCACTTATGTGAACATACGTTGATTTTTTCATAATTACGTTAAATGAATATTATATTTCAAAAAATCTATAATCCGATTCCGAATTTGATTCATTAAAATCAATGATTACAGTAGATATCAGACTAGTATCAATTATATCTTACATTTCAAGAAAATGTCGTGGTTCTAAAAAGAACCGTTTTAATACATATAAATATCCATAACGGTATTAGTTTAAGATATTTCCTCAATATCATTCCTGAATTCACAATCTGATTCGCGAATGACAGAAAGTGGTAATAAAGTTGTCCATGGACATATATCTTTTTCTAATTGAAAATAATTTAATAATTTTAATATTAGTCTTTGTTCATTCTCGGTATATCTCGGAATATTTAAAATATTTTTATGACAATAAATACAAAATTAAATTTTCACTGTAGGTAAAATGTCTAAAAATACTAACCTGGAATGACAATTATCATTTTCTTCTTCTTCTTCCTTTATTGCAATTATCATTTTATCAGTTGACATTGTGAAAGTACTGTCACTGTCACAATCGAGACCTTAGACACGGAAAGAGAGAGGACGCGTAACCGTATCGTTAAAAGTGAAGCCAAACTGCCACCAGAGGAAGTGGTCAGCGGAGTATCTTTGTATTTTTAAGGATTGACTAATTCGTATTTAAAATGAAACATTTTTTTACATTAAATGTTTAATTTATTTTATTTTTTTATACAAATATTTTGGAATCAAAATTAACGAAATTTATTTATTTATTTACTTATTTATGGAATATTTTATGGAATTTTAACCCTCAACGCACATCGCCAATTGCAAATCATCATAATGTGTGTGTAAAATTATTAATTATAATACAATTACTGAAATAACTATGCATATTTAGCATTCTTATTTACTAATTTAGATCTCAACTTTCCTTAAAATACTAATTTAAATTGGTTTTGAGCTTTAAAATTGAAATAAAAAGTAAAATCAATTATTACCTAATTGCACTATTATAAATATTGACCTATGAAACGATATTCCTGGTGTTTTCTGCTCGCTGCGATTTTTACAAAGAATATACGCACAATTCACCATTTTGTTAAGTAAAAAAATAGGTGTTTAATTCACTTTTTTTAAAAAACCACAAAAACAAAACTGGTGTCAGATCTATTGTTTGCCACCAAAAAAATGGCGGACACATTAAAAAGTGGCTTTACTTTTTGAACGTTGGTTGAGCGAGTGTTACCCGTCCGTTGATACATCCGTAAGTGGAATTCGCTTTAATACTCCAACCAATTATACATCCGTAAGTGGAATTCGCTTTAATATGCGAATACCCGTAAACGACACCCAATTTTCTAAGTTCTATGTAGAATAATCACAGACTCATGTTTTTTTTGTCACTCTAGCTTAAAGGATTCCCCAAACCGACGCGAAACTTTCGCAGCGGAATCGCGGCGAATCGTAAGGCATGGCGACTTTAATGCATGTGTTCAGACAAGTTCGGACGGAAACCGGAACGGTCGCGGCAGAACAGCGTTGACGTTTCATGAAACGCTGCATGCACGGTTTTTTCCGCTGCAGTTATAGCAAGTTATAGTTTCGCGTGAATTATTAAAATGGCTGTTACAGAAAAACTAATTGAAATTGTGAAACAATATCCTATAATTTATGATTTAAGTGACGAAGATTATAAAAATATAAGAAAAAAGGATAAAGTCTGGGATAATATAGGGTCATTTCTAGGAGAAAATGGTAAGTTTTCATTATATATTATATATAATGAATTTAATAGTGCTCCGCCTGCGAATGTTCCGCAACGGTTTCGCGTCGCAAAAGTTTCGCGTCGGTGTGGGGAATCCTTAATGCGTCAGAGAGAATTCGAACAACTATTACACACTGAAAGAAGGGTTTGAAATAGACTATAGATCGATTTTGTAAGAAGTTATTTAACTTTTTTATAACAATTCGAAAAATACAGGATCGACTTAAATAATTTTGATTTTAAAATATTTGTATAAATCTGATATTTCAATCATATTTTATTTTGAAACGATACAATTGATTTATTGTTAAAAATTTTGATTAATGACGTATAATATATATTATACCTCATACGTCATTGGTTTATAAATTTATAGAGAAATATTTATTAAATATATTTATTTAATAAAGAAATATCATTGTTTATAAAAAATAAAGGATTTAGAAAATTTATAAAATAATATATATTGCCTATAATTGATTTAGAGCGTGTATATCACTTCTACATATTTCGTAATGATATTGCTTCTTTGTATCAAATTGATATGAAAATATTTTTATTCCGTATCGATGCTTTTTTTCTAAATGTATTAACGGAAGGAAAGCCTGTCCAAAAAAGGAATCATAGATTCATCAATACCATTGATTATAAACTACTACAGTGGTTTATAATCAATATCCATACATACAGACTGGGTTGGTCAGAGAGCCATATTAAAGTTTGTTTTCATCATATCAATTAATTTTTGTACTTTATAATATATTATATCGCCTTCAGGTGCTTTTGAAATGCGCACACAGTGCTAATTAATTTATAACGCCTTGTATAATTTATATCGGTATAGTATATATGTATAGTTCAGTAACAACAAATAAAAAAATGATCATTAAAGAATTTAAGGAAGAGTTAGTGAAAAGTCTTCTAACAAAAGAACCAGAAGAAAGTTTTGAAACTATAAATCGTCACATTTTAGAGAAGACAAACAAAAAAAGAAGATATTTTTGATGTGTTTTTATTTGATGAACAAACTATTTTTCTTTTCACTTAAAATAGTGTATTATTTTGAAACATCCTTGCAAAAAAGTAATGAGCTATATTTCCGAAATTGTTCTAGGAGGCCACCTGATTTTATATGAAAATTTTCATATAAAATATTAAACTTGTGCATCTGTACAGGTACATACAATTATTGACTACACAGGACACTTTGCTGTTGGCAAATAGTGCTGTGTATCAATATGGATCACAAATACATAATGGCAAATAGTACTAAATCGGCTTGTCGATCAACCTGTTAATGTTATATAATGTAAATTATTGGTTTTGAGTAGCAAACAAAGATTTTTCTGTAAATTGAATAAAAAAATCTCAGCGATGACCTGCAACGGACTTTAAAAAAGAAATAATGCATGTCCGTGTCGCATGAATAATCTCTCAGTGGTTCGATTACACGTAATATTATTTAAATTTAAATTTAGAATACTTAAAAAATAGCGAACATCACAGCCTGTACGTTGAAGCACTAAAATTATCAAAAATTGCGATATGCCAAAGAAGTCATGACACATTCACGATATACAATATTTAAACGTACTCTAGTGTTCAAACTCATTTTGTACATATCGTTATATAATTAAAACTGTCATGCAATGTGCCCTTTTTATATCATTGGTTTAACTAGTCACTTTATATGTTTTCCACTTTTTTCCCAATTCAGACATTAAATGAAATATCTGAATAAAAATAAGTGCGCAATAAATTATATGAATATTTTTCTTTTTTCTTATTTTATATAATGATTATGTCGGTGGTGTTATTGGTCGGTTCGTTAGTGGTCATTTAGTTATCGTCCAATTTTCTCTTAGATCCTCTACCTAAAAATAAAGACATATTAATATAGAGCCACAAAAAAAATCGTAAAAAAACGTAATTTAAAAAGGGCACAGAATCACTTATTTCTATGGAGTTAGTATTACCTTTCGATGAAAAAGAAGTAGTTCTAGATCATTCAAGATATCGAAAATTCATCAAATTTCTAGTGTCTAAAACATATATATATATATATATATATATATATATATATATATATATATATATATATATATATAAGTATATAGCAAAACTGGTAAGATTATCGACCGAAACGTAAGAAACAATTTATTGTGTTGGAATATCGGGTATGCGGTCTGCTATTATTAAAAAAAACTCTTTTTTCTTTTAATCCGACAAAGATTTAGAGTGGAAAGTATTTAAAGAAGTTGTTGAACACAATAAGAGTACTGTTTTGAACAAATTATGTTCAACAACTTGTTTAAATACTTTCCACTCTAAATCTTTGTCTCCTGATGAAGCTGACAAAAAATCAGCGAAATATAGAGGATTAAAAGAGTTTTTTTTTAATAATAACAGACCGCATACCCGATATTCCAACACAATAAATTGTTATATATATATATATATATATATATATATATATATATATATATATATATATATTCTGATATATCGGTCCAAACTTCACTAGACATTTCATGAGTTCCGAAAGATTTTCGCGGTTAGTACAATTAAATCTAGAACTAAGATTAATACTTTTACAGGAATTAATATTTTAACTCCTGAATTAATAAGTTTTTCCGGGTTGAATCGCGTCGATTAACATTGCGCCGAACTTTCTACATCCTCTTTGATGTCTTTTTCAGGGCTTCCGACGTCTCAGTCTACCGAGCCCACAGACTAAATATTTTCTTTCTGTCATTGTCACTATCTTCATACAGGTCACAAAATTTATTTTGAAAACTCCAGAACCATAGCCCCCATTCGCTTCTATAAACCAAGAATTATCCGAGAAGCCATAGAAATTAAAAAGGCCAAATTGTCTCAATAAAAGAGCTGATGGTATACGGTTACCTTTGACATGGAGACCTCTCATAAAGAAAATATCGTTCGCTTCATCCGTCAATCAAAATCCTACTGTCAGAAATGTTCGCGCCAATCCCCACCCAAGCCACGTCACCATCGACGGTATAAATGAATCGTCCTCTGTTTCCAGTAGCAGCAGAGAACTACGAACACAGAGAAGCGACACTCCTTTGATCTTGCGTGGGCAAGCCGCCAACGAGTGAAAATGACAGGAAAGCACCTTATTTACTAATAGTCAGTGGGCATATTACACAATACAAATTCTTAAATAAAATTGAGCATTTATGTTGACTTTCAATAAATATGAAATATTGCACTGAAAAAATAATTACATGCAGGGCCGGCTTTTGTTGACATTCTAAATGGTGTAATTATTTTTGATTTACAAAAGGTTGCAAATACATCGCACAACGCAAAGTAATGGTGAAAATCGTATTGATGGAACCATAGATGAAAATACTTTTTTGTTTATTCTGATGTTGACATTGATAATACAATAATACACCGATTCTTTTTGGCTTGTGTTGATACAAAATATAATTTGTTCGTCGTTGAATTTCCTAATAAATTATCTTTCGTAATATAATCGAAAAATAACAAAGCCATTGTAACTGCCACGTAAATTTCACAAACTCTAAAAATTCCAATTCTCTTTGGGTGAGACTGAGAAACAAGAAACTTTATATTGATATCGCTTGTTTATGTCTTGGAAACCTATTAAAATTACATTTTTCCTTTAAAGTTGAATATTGGAGTAAACGATATTCGACTAAAACGAATAAAAAATCAAGAAGTAACTATTGTACGAGTATATTTCTATAAATATAAAAATGTAATAACCTAAAAAATAATCAAAAAAGTATTACGAATCATTACAAGAGAGCATTAGGAAGATAAAACGAATTTATATTATTGTCTACACATGATTCGGATATACATAGTAAATCCAGACTTTCAGTTTAAACTAATATTTCGATACAATTTATTTTGTTTACAATAAATTCAGAGTTAATACATACGATTTTTAGTTGATTGGTATTGCCTTTAAAATTATTTGTAGTATCTAGTTTGCCTAAGCCGGATTTGTAACAATTATTTCTGGTTTTGTTGTTAACTGCGGTTAGTACAATTCTTATACTTGAAGTCAAAACGACGAACCATTGAACCTTCAGGCCAGATACTGGGATTGAGAACTTTTTATAGTTTGAGCACTTTAGGAATTTCTTTGTTTCGTTTAAATCAAATATTCTCGTGTATAAAACCCTCTATATATTTTTATTTCCTAAAAATACTATATTCGTATTATTGTCTGCGAGCGCTTTCACACCAGTAGGCCAACATCTGTGTTGATTTTTTGACCTGAGCCTTCGGAGACAATAAATTTAATGTGTGTTCGTAGTTCTCTGAACATTTATTCTGAATAACCAGAAGACATTTTAAATACTTATAAATTAAACTTTTAACTATAAACTATAACTATAAACTTATATATTTAACTTATATATTTTAACTATAACTATAAACTTTTAACTACTAAATAATTAGATAAATGGTCAAATGCACTTGTATAGTCGAGAGTTTACCACAGATGCCTACGGACTATCGTAAGCAACTTAAAGTTGAAGAAAACGCACGTGTTTTTGACAGTAAAGCACCTTATTTGGGTCATGCGTATACAGAAAAGATACACGAATTTCGGGCCTCGTGTCGCTTCTCTGTGTTCGTAGTTCTCTGGTAGCAGTAATGCATTGGTTCGTGATCAGTGTAGTATTGTTTGGGGTCTCGGGAGACTGAGACAAAGCCTTGAAGGAGACATCAAAAAGGATGAAAAGCTTGATTGCGCTTAATTTTCATTAATTTAGCGTAATTTAGCCATCCCATTTTTAGAATCACTTTATTTCTTCAGAGCATCGCTCCTCCGATTTTCATTCCCAAGCACCCTAAGTATACAAAATTAGTTAACGACGTGATATTAATAATTTATTATAGGCGACGACTGCTGTTAAGTTTGTCTATGATAATGATCCTTGTTTTTTTCTCCATTTAACTACCATCACTTGTACCAATACACAATCTATCATTCTATGGATTCTTCCAATCTTTTCTAATATTTTATCATCTGCACATCTAAAGTTACATATCTTTCTTCCGTCCATACTCCATACTACTGCTGCCGTTCCATCTTTAAATGGCTCTCCGCATTTCCATTCCCCAAACAGGAATATATTGAACAAAATGGGACTCAGTATATATCCTTATCTCACACCTTTTGGTGACTCTGAAACTTGCGGTTAGTTCTCCATATACTCTAACTCTGGAATAGTTTTTATTTTACATAATTTTTATCGCTTATATAAGACGACTGACGCAGCACTCTCATTTCAGACATAATTTATACATCTTCTAACAGTTCACTAGATCAAAGGTTTTACTAAAATAAGTGAAGCAAATATATGTTGCGATGTTAAATTTTCTTTCTATAATCTGTCATAGGTTTAATATATGTTCCCTAGTGCCCCTCCCGGGATAAAATCCGCAATTTCCTGTCGTAAAAAATATTTTGTCTCTTTTATTATGTTTAAGAATATTTTGCTGTAGTATGTATAATTCGTGCTCTTGTGCGATTCTTGTGCGATTATGCGAAATGTGCTACATTGATTCAATACTCAACTTTGATTTATTTTGAGTTTTTTCAGCATCCTCTATTCCTAATATATAATCATAAAATATAGGTGGGGATAAAATAGGAGATGATATTTTATTTGGAAAAAAGTTGGGGTCACTTCTCATCCTACTGTAAGAATGCAAAACCCATATTAAAATTTGGCAAACTTGGATTAGATTTTTCCAGTCATCACGGTGTATATTATTGTAACTGTACATTATATTTCTCGATCATCTGAATAATTTCGTTCGTTCTCACTACCAGTGCGTTGTGGTCACATAATGTAGATACTCATTATTCGTATTTTTAAATTTTCCATACTTTATTAAATGAAAATTAGAAACGTTAAAACTATATCTCCCTAATTATTTTGGTTCGAAAATTATTCAAAAATTAACTTTTTTTCTGTCAAAACTAAAATTTTTACAAACTAAGTAAGCTGCTACCTGCTACTAAAATAGAATACTTACAGTGTACGTGACAAACTGCTACGTTTGCTCCGATCTCCAGTAAATACTTCAACCACAATTGCTGCTTCATCGAGAGTCTTTCATTTTTCCCTTTAACCTCAACAAATTTGGCCTGAAAATTACAATCAAATTATAAAAATGCTGCCTTAAAAAAGTTAAAATATTAACGATTGATGGAATTGAAATATACCTATATGACTGAAATGATGTTCAGAGTTAAGTAAATATCATGAAATCCGTGATGGCATCCCCGGTATATCAATTTAAAAATTTTTGGATAATTTACGACTTCGTTTTCATTAACAAAACTGTCGACTGATTTAAAAGATATCCGATCACCTGGTAACAACTGTTGAATCTGAAAGTTAATTTCGTTAACGTCAACATTTTTCGCCGCCAAAATTACGCGCTCAATGAGCCAATTATGATATAAGTAATTATTCAGTATAGCCGGGAAGACACTTACATTTCTAAACTTTTTATCAAACATAATTAAATTACAATCGGCATTCCTAATGTTCATTAGGCTAATTTGCTTAATGTGCTTAGGATCTTTATACGTGGTTATATTATATTTTATCTCTCAAGCACAACAGTTAGAATAATTCTATCGTATTGATCTAAATTCAGTATATTGTAATTCAAACGTGTAGTTTCAAGTGATCATCATGCCTAGACGTAAGTTGGATATTGATGAATTGCAAATGTGCATAAATACTTTACCATGGAAAGAGACAATGGTGGACCTTTAAGGGTGGTCATTATTACGTAAAAATCAAAGGGTTTGTGACGCACTCGGAATAAGTGAAAGTAACCTAAAAACTGTAATGAAGAGTTTTTGTCAAGTGTGTACCAACGCAATTCTACCCGAATTTGCGTATAAAATACACGGTTCGTATATTGCAAAATTAAACTTCAAAAATTATTGAAAATCTATATTTGCCAGTTCCCAACAAAACATATCGCGTGCTTTTAAAAAATGATGTAACAAAAATTATCACTTATAAGCATCAATCTATACATAGACAAAATTAAAAAATACTACGCCACGGATACCGACCGTTCAGCGCTCAGACTCTTAGTCAACTGTAAGAACCTCATCGGTTTTTATTACACCACTTACGCGTTAAAATAAAGAAAATAAATTGAAGTGATGGCGATAAAATATAAGAATTATTGCCGACAAGTGGAAAGATTGTTATGATTTAAAAAGGTTTTATAGCTAAAGCTTTCTTTGAATTTTAATAAGAGATTTTTAACTTCAGCATTTAAAGCGGTATACAAACAAAATAATTATCAAATGGCTGTGACATCCTCCCACCTGAGGCATTTTACAAAAGTAAACATGGCTCACAATATTAATATTAGCACAAAAGTAAACAAAACTACAGCAAATAACATAAAACCATAACAGACAAAATTCGAAATATAATTAAGCAAAAACTAAATCTACTCGTTAGCGTATCGCACAGGAGTTTTGACGCTGCGCCCACTTCGCGTAACAATTTTTTTTCGTTTCGGGTACTCTGCTTTCAGACACTCCCGTTTCCGCGTCGTTTTCGGAGGCACTCACTTCCGCGCCTTCACATAAACTTAAACGAGATCCTCTGTCTTCGGTCTCTCCCGTGTTGTCCGTTCGGTCATTGCCTAGCGTCTGAAAAAAAATCTGCTGGGCACTCCATGGGGTAGATACGCTCATTAATACTGTTCTCAGCTATTTTTTGAAAGTCTACTCGAGAAAACGCGTTCTCAGTTCCGACAAAGTTAGTTCCATTATCACTGTATATAGTCTTCGGACGACCACGTCTGGCAATAAAACGTCTTAGAACCTGCATGAAGCAGGCGACTGACAACGAGGTGCAAAGTTCGACATGTACAGCACGATATACGGCACACGTAAAAAGACATATCCATGCTTTTCCTCCGGTGGCTAGGTAAAGCGGTCCCGCAAAATCTACGCCCGTCGTTTCGAATGCTACCGCGTCCCGGACGCGATCTACTGGTAACGGCGGAGCACTTGCTCCGAATGGCTTCGCATTATGCCTTTTGCAGACGACACACTTAATGATGGCTGATTTTATCGCCCGTCGACCACCTAAAATCCAATATCGTTCACGCACGATACTCGTGAGTCCTTGAGTTCCAATATGACACGACTTAACATGTTCCCGGAATAACAACCTATTCACTAAAAAATGTTTTGCCGGTAAAACTATAGGAAACCGAAAATACTCTAGGTCATTGCTATTACTAATACGCGACTGTAAGCGAATTAGTCCATGCTCATCCTTAAAAGCGTTCATTCCCGATAATCTATTGTCTTTATTCAGAAATAGAGTGTCGTCACTCTTATTCCACTTTATTCCCAACACTTGAGTTGAAGCTGCAAGGTTTTCATCCTGTATTTGGCCAGTATACTCCCACCCTCTGAGGTCAAACTTGCCTTCACTCATTATTATGTTTGACTCTTCTATAAAAGTTCTCAGTTCCTGCTCATTTCTTACACTGGTAACACAATTATCAACGTAAAAACTATTGGATAAATTTGTAATTGTGTCTTCTGAAACATTAAGCCGTGCCGAAGAGCATTTTTCTAACATCTGCGACAAATGATAGTCCAGTGTAGCTGCCAATAAAAATGGACTACTACTTATTCCAAATACAACTCGACAGTGACGGTAAATCCTTTCTTTTCCAGTTTTATCTATCCAGAGAAAGCGAAGAAAATCCCTGTCAGCTTTATGCAGGCCAATTTGCAAAAATGCTTTCCGAATATCGGAGATTACACCAATTTCCTTTTGTCTAAATCTCAACAAAATAGCTGGAATCAATTCAATCAGGTTAACCCCCTTTTCAAGACACTGATTTAAAGAAGGTCTGTGTTTTTCTTTGGCCGAAGCATCAAAGACCGGTCTGATTTTTGTAGATAAGCTATTTGGCTTAATTATCGGTCTATGGGGTAAATAATGACATTCTTGGCTAGGCTGCTCCTCGGATATTTCTTCAATTATACCTTCGTCCAACCAATCCTTAAATATTTGGTCGTAGGCTTCAAGATATCCGTCTTTCGTTATTTTCTTAAATGTGCTCTCGAGTCTCCTTTTTGCAATTTGGTAGTTGCTCGGCAATGCTGGATGTCCTTCCAGCCATGGGAGTCTCACTTCATATCGTCCACTAGAATCCGATGACACTGTTTCAAAGAAAAGTTTCCTGGCTGCTAGCGCAGTTTCTTCACTTGACTTCCTTTCAGTTGGATCACCAATGCCCAAAACGTCTAGCTCCCAAAGATTACTAACTGAAGCATTTTTAACAAAAAGTGATACAGCCGATGTGGTATTATTGTCCCGTTGACCTAAAGGTATCTTGCCCATTAAAGTCCAACCTAATAATGTTTCTACAGCTACCAATCCACTTTCCAATATGTGCCTCCTCCCAGTATAGAGTTTTCCAGCAATATCAGCACCTATTAAAATCTCTATAGGAGACGCATCACCCAAGTCCGATAGTTTTATATTAAACATACCAAGTTCTTCTATCCAGGGACCATTAAATATGGAAGAGACGTCGCTACATATAACGTTTTGATCTAGTGCCTCAAATGTATAACTATAATTGTTATGAAACACTCTAACATCATAGCAATCATGTTTTTGCGCTAATTGGTTTCCTCCAAACAATCCATGTACTAGATTAATCTGTCGTTTACTAGGATAACCCAAAAGTTTAGCTGTAGATTTCAAAATGTACGTTTTTTGCGATCCGGTATCTATAAGAGCACGTACAACTCGCGACTTGTCTAAATAGTTTATTTCAATACGCAGAGTTTGCAAAAAAACATTCGTATTAGCACTATTAGCGAGCGTCTGTTCAATTCTTGGCACGGCGATGCCATCGTTTTCTTTCTGTTCTTCTGTATCCTGCTTTACCCGGTGTCTTGAAAGTTCAGTGCACATTAAAGGTACATGCGATTTAGAGCAAATTAAACAACTTAATTGACTGCGACATTTTCGAGACTGATGTCCAATTTTCAAACAACGAAAACACGCGCCTTTTTCTGTCAAAATATTTTTCCTTTGGTCATAAGTTAATTTCTGTGCTTTAAAACAGTGGCTGCTTTCATGCGAATTCTGACAAAAAACACATTTATAGATAGTGTGAGAATTAACTAAACCCATCGCGGAAGGAGACTTGTGCTTGTTTTCCTCGTGTCTCCTTGTTTTTGGGCCTGTAGATTTAAAATCTTCGGTTTTAGCAGCATGCAAATGGAAATTCTCGACTGCTAAAGAAAGGTGCTGCTCATTGTCAACTTCTTTTTTCAAGAACAACATTAAACTCTGAAGTCGATTTTCGATGCTTGCGATGCCGGCAGAATTAAGTGAGGCTTGTGATCCGATACTTTCTGGCAATCGTTGCCAAACTCTTAATAAATCTGAAGGTAGAGAGGATTCAACTAAAGGAAATAACATACCCGCGTATTTATCCGACTTAATACCGAGTGTTTCCAGAACCCTCAACTGAGTCTCTAATTTGTCGTATAACAAGGATAGATCTAATTTATTGCCAGACGCAGTATTATTTATTACTAATTTAAGTAATTCCCGTACATAAACTTCGATCTGCAAGTCATCCCGACCGAAACGCGAAATAAGACAGTCAATCATAGCATCATAATTACTTCCAGTGGCGGGAAAACTATCCACTAGTTGCCTAGCTCTACTACCCGGTATAGTAGCTTGAATCAAATATTCGACCTTGTCGTTCGGATCTATGTCAGGATCATGATGAACTTTTTGAAATTGTGACCAAAAAGGCAACCAGTTTTTAATATTCCCGTCGAATTTTTTGAACTCTAATGTAGGTAATTTAAATTTTCGCTTACCGCGTCTGCTGTCTAAACTACTCCTATCATCAGATATCCTAGAAGCTACCTCACCTTCCACTGCACCTGTCACTATTGACTGCATACGGTCTTCGAACTGCATACTGAGATCCAAAAACTTCTTGCTATAGTTGTCACTACACTCAATTTCTGCTAAAAGGTCTTCTTCACTAGCGTCTTCACTTAGTAATAGACCGTAGATTTCTTCATCACTTTTCCTTAGGTCTTCAATTTTTTGGCGTAATAGATCCAAGGAAACTTTAATTGATCGTATCTCACCCTCCGGCGCCGACAAAAGCTTATCCATTTCATTCGCCGTCCTCGTGAAGGTGCTACGGAGCACTTTGCGATGTTTCTTCTTTTGATCCATTTTTCTCTGCAAACTTGGTCAAAACCACACACGTTTACCGAAAGTTACAGGCGAAACGCGATAAAGTTTGTCCGGTGATCGTCAATACAATTTTGTTACACCTCGTATACAACCACGATTAATTTTATGGAAACAGTCCTGTCACGGTCGCCAAATATGTCAAGTGTGTACCAACGCAATTCTACCCGAATTTGCGTATAAAATACACGGTTCGTATATTGCAAAATTAAACTTCAAAAATTATTGAAAATCTATATTTGCCAGTTCCCAACAAAACATATCGCGTGCTTTTAAAAAATGATGTAACAAAAATTATCACTTATAAGCATCAATCTATACATAGACAAAATTAAAAAATACTACGCCACGGATACCGACCGTTCAGCGCTCAGACTCTTAGTCAACTGTAAGAACCTCATCGGTTTTTATTACACCACTTACGCGTTAAAATAAAGAAAATAAATTGAAGTGATGGCGATAAAATATAAGAATTATTGCCGACAAGTGGAAAGATTGTTATGATTTAAAAAGGTTTTATAGCTAAAGCTTTCTTTGAATTTTAATAAGAGATTTTTAACTTCAGCATTTAAAGCGGTATACAAACAAAATAATTATCAAATGGCTGTGACAGTTTTAGATGTTCTAAAGAAGATCTTACTGTGCCTGAGTATCACGAAAACAACTCGTTAACATTCTAGGAGCATTGCCTTACTGATGGACAAAAATTTTGAAATTCGCAATATTTTGCATCGAATGCCTGAAAACAATCAACATGTCAGTTTAGATACTTTAGGCGCTGGTTTCTCTGAACACACGTCAGCGGCGATGGACAACGGCTGTCGCCAACGTTTGGATGCTATGCCTAAAAGTGTATGCACTTGGTTTCTCAGACACGCCAGCGGTCACGGCTAGCGTCGACGGTTGGCGTTTACCCGCTGCGTATGTCCGTTCATATAGTTTCGAAGCATTGCAGCGGGTGGACGTTATGACGGACGAAAGCAAAATGAAAAAAGAACAAGATTAAATTAATTTAATTTAAACATAATTTTTAATTATAACAGTTATACAACGTGAGACTGCCAAGTGACCCTTCCAGATGGCGAACACAAGCAATCTTTTATTTTGATCAGTATTTTGGAAAAGAGGCAGCAAGCGAATAATCAGTTGTTTGAAAAAATTTTTTAACGCAGACAGAAACTGTACCAGAAAAATCTGCTATTCATAAATTTTTCGAGTCCATGGCTGATACTGTTTCAAACTTTACACCACATATTATTGCTGAAACTAGGTTACAAGTTTGTAAAATAGTAACAGAGATGGAACTGAAAATTCATAACGAACAGTGGCTGTTTTTGTGATAGTCGAAAATATTGTATGAATTTTTCATTATCACATTTAAGATGCGAATGAATTAAGTTACTAAATTTTCTTTCACTCTCTCTACTTTTAAATATATTGTGAGTCCGTATTCTTTTCTTTAAATTTCTATTAATAAGTTCGATATCTTCCTCTTCTTTAAGTAACAGTTTCATCAACATTTTTTTCATTATCATTTTTATTATTTATAAAGTTCTTTGTATTTTTAATCTAACCTAATAATCGACGTCTATATCTATGACTTATTGATATCTACCAGCAAACTGTCTAATTCTAGAGAAACCATTAAACCGTTACTGACGACGTGTGGACGTTAACCGCAACGTCCAAACGTCGACGGCCGCGGCTTACGTCTGTTCAGGGAAACCAGCGCCTTACTGGCCAAAATAACAGAAAGCTAAATTTTTGAAATTAAGAGGACTAGCTTTTGGAAAGTGTTGAGAGATTAAAGATTTAAATTCAAAAAAGAAAATAGTAGGTTTTTTTACGCCAAACGAAGTAGTGTGGTTCATAAAAGAATTAAATTTTTGAGAGAATATACTAAGACTTAAATCTGAAAATCCAACATCGTATACTTAGATGAGACATGGATATTTGCAAAGGGTGAAATTAAAAGAATTTAGCAAGACGACAGCATAAAATCAATAAAACATACAGATAGCAAAGGCAAAAGACACAGCATTCTTCACGCAGGGGGGAAACAAGACTTTACAGAAAACGCGGATTTGATTTTTTCTTCAAAATCAAAATCTGCTGATTACCATGAAAACATGAATGCAGATATGCTTGTTAAATGGCTTGAGGAGAAATTGTTACCACAGAATAATAAACAATAAGAATGCCCACTCTCCATGGAAAATTAGGTACGCGCAGACGTTCGCCATGTGTTAGAGGGAACCAGAGTTGTTTAATGAAAACTTATGTGGTATGCATAGAAAAACTAACCCGATTTAATTGACTTATGGCAATCATAGACATACTATGCAATTATTTTAACATTGTTAAAATATAATAACATAAATATAATATAATTAAACATAAATATAAACAATTACATAACCTCACAAATCATATGCCTGTGTTGTGTGTTTCCTTCTAAAACATGGCGCGCGTGCTGAAAAACTTCAAAGGCGGCATCTGATAAAAGGCGGCATCTTATAGTGGGCATTCTGATTGTTTATTATTCTGTGCTGTTACCTAGTCTGAGTAAACCATCAGTTATAGTTTTAGATAATGCACCTTACAAATTGGATAGTTAAAAGTAATATCAATTTTACGGAATACGCCTTCAAATCGGAGTTACTGGAAATTTCGAAACGTAATTAAAAACCAACAGTTTATATTGGTGTATATATTGACCACAGAATATACAGTGACGATGCAGTTAGGAAAATCAGGCAAGAAGCTCTTACTGCAACTCCAGAAATATGGGATAAAACTGTAAATAAATGTAAAAAATTAATAGAAGAGTTGTGGACCCGGGAAAACAAAATTAGTGAAATTAATCCAGTGATTATAGATTTACATAATGATAGCTGTAGTGAATTTAATGAAAATGATGATGATTTATAAATTTAATTAATCAGTAAGTACACTATTATAATGTTATTTACAGCAAAGTTATCAGGTTAACCATTACATTTATACATTCATTATTAGCCAATTAAACAATAATATTTAAAACTCCATTTGAATTTTTGCTCCTCATTTAATATAAATGAACTCTAACAGATAATACAGGTAAAAATATTCTAAAATAAAAATTTATATTTTTAAAATAAAAATTTTAAGCTTTTAATAAGCATTTTTTTATACCTTAATACACACGAACACCACGTGCTTTGGTTGAATATACTACAAGTAAAAAATACTTATTGATATATACATACCTTTTTTTCGTCTACATTCCATAAAATCAAATCTGGCATTCCACTTTGGTACTGATCTATATCTTTAACCAGCCTTTCATAAATTTTAGAGAGTATTTTTCTTCCGATACAATCCACAATTATATTAAGGAATTCGATATCTAGAGTCTCACATATTAGACCACACAATCCTGATATTTGTGAATATTTATTCCAGTACTCTGTAGCTTTTTCAATAGTTTCTTCATATGACCAACCTTCAGCTATATCCTTCAATCTTTTGTCAATTAGTTCTTTCCGATTTTTGTAGAAATCAGTGGTATACATATCAAGGGGGACTTCTTGATATTTAGATACAAAAGTACCCGGGATAATCGGATTTTGGCTATAAATGATTTCCCAGAAGAAAAGCGTGAACGATTTCATTATAATCATGTCCTCGCAATGTATGCCATTGGTATAACCACATGTTTCAACATAATAGTCTTGTGCAACTTGTTCTACAGTGTTATATGTTTTACTACTATCTGAATTGTGTACCTCATAGAGCCGTTTTCTCCCAGATTTGTCTCTAAAACATTACATTTTGCAATCAAAATATTACTTTTATTATTCTCGACCGTTTTTAAAATTTTCACAAAAATTACTAAAAAGAACTATTTATGATTGTAAAACTACGTTAAGACTTTATACACACGTAAATATTGGTAAACTCGGTTTCATCGTTCTTGTCATGTGCGTGAAATAAGCTACTACGGAATTTTTAATATTCGTCTCTCTCTGATACACAGATACGTAATTTATTAGTAAAACATTTTTATATTTATACAGTCACAGCGGAATATTTCTTTTGTGTAACTAACGAGGGCGTGGCCTTTAGGTATAAAAATGTCAAAACTGACCGTAATTTGTTATTTTGAACTGTGAAATGTTTCATAATATTTTGATAGAACAACTACTACATAAACGATGCGGAATTAATCTAATATTTGCAAAATGTTGGATTAATTAAATAACAATTTAAATGTTGTTAGACAAAAAGACGGACACAAAGTAAACTATGGTTTTTGGTGCAGTAAATATGATGTATCCCATATGCATCGGTACACTATTTAATTTAAAGGACTGTAAGTACCCGTCAGAACTCTATTTTATATGTGGTTTTGGGCAGATCGGCCAGCTAAAAGTGATGCAGAATTTATTAAAAAATAATGATATGTAAATAATAAAATTACTTTATTTAAGAGCGTAGGCGCAAATTTAAGATGAAGCGAATCGGCACCGACTGTCCTATCCCTAGTTTATCTTTCTTTACACAGCAAATTACGTGTAGTTAAATTCTCACTGGTATGAAAGCTTTAAAACGGTAGGTATCTTGTTTATCCAGAATCCGCTTAACACATGTATATCTGTGAAAAGCTGTGTTGTATAGGTATTGCTCAATTAATTCATAAAGACTTTATTTATTTCTTTATTTGCGTAAATTCAAATATGGGACGTTGTTACAAGAAATGTATTAGTGTAACACGAAGAAATAGACGGTTAGCTCAATTGAAAGTACTTTTTATATAAATTAAATTACTTTTGTATTTTTCTGTAAAACTGATTTGTAAATATATAGTGAAAATGTCATTTATAAAATCGATCAGTAAACCAAGAATTTTTTCTTTACATTTTATTTTCCTTTAAAGGAATAAACTATCTGTTTGATTTTTGTGGATTGTATGTTTGTGGTTATCACTACTAGCATTGTAGTAGAAGGTTTACATGTTAATACACTATAAAGAAACTGTAGGTACTAAGTAAGTAATACATTCATTTGTTTTTAAAATTATTTAATTTGGAATATTATAGACGAGCACGATATTCTTGAGTGGCGGCTCAAAAAGTAGCAGAGATATTTATTAAGTAAGCCATACTTTTAATTTTTTTAACATGAAATGAATACGATTTTTATATAACAGTCAATCCCGTATTTTCGAAGAACTTGCCAAGGAGAACATCTTCTTCTTTGAGTGCCTCTCCTATCGGAGATTGGATATCATTATGGCGATTCTAATTTTATTTACTGCTGTTTTGAATAATTCGTTAGTGGTACAGCCAAACCACTCTCTTAAATTTCTCATCCAGGACATTCTTCTACGGCCTGGATTTCTGCGTTCTTGGATTTTTCCTTGCAAGGAGGAGAACATAATTAAAGAATATTCAGCTACTACGTAAGTTTTTTTTACCAAATATAAAATGTAGTAGCAGTAAGAAGTACAGTAAACTTTTAAACATAAATAAATAATTTATATGTCTTTTAGACAAACTACTTCAGATTTCATATTACAAGGAAGAAGAATTGTAGATGTGCAATATTTTATTAGGCAAATACTGCAATTCCCTCACCACAGATTGTTCAATTGCTTCCGGAAGATATTACAGTAACTAGTGAAAAGCGAAAAGGATGTTATTCTAAATTTACTCTCTTTTGCCCAATGTGTCGCATAAAACATGAAGCAGAAACTGAAAAATTTAAACAACTATCCCTCAACGTCAATTCTGCAGCAATAACTGGAATAGTTAGTATTGGTGGAGGATAACCACAACTAACTGAATTACCGTCCAGTCTAAATATCCCACTACTATCAAAAAATATTATTTATTAATTCAAAATGATCTAATTGACTTATACCATGACAGCTTTTGGACATCAATGCTTGAGGCTGGACAAGAAGAAATCAAATTAGCAAAAGAGCATGGAGATATTAATAAAGATGGCTATCGTTTTATAACTAATGTTGCGGACTGCTCTTGGTCAAAGAAATCATATAAAACAAATTATAACGCCAATTCTGGAGCTGCAGCCATTATTGGATACAGAACCCAAAAGATTCTGTATCTTGGAGTAACGTTAATTATACAAAGAAGATAAAGAACACGTATGTTAGAAAAATTGGACAAAAGCTTCGACTACAATGGAAAGACAAATAATTCTAGATGTTATCAACAAAACGATATAATTTCAATGGAAAACTAGTACCAATTTTCTTACGAAAGCTTTTAAAAAATAACATAATAAGATTAAGAACCGCTGTTACAAAAGCAACTGAATACCATCAACAGTCAGATAAACCAAGTGACTTAAGAATAAAGTTTTTGAAAAACGATACATCTAATATGCAGCAAGATTAAAATTCCATGCAAATAGTCTTTTAAAAAATATGAGTAACAATTATGCTAAACAATATAGTAATGTAATAGCAAAGTTTCTAGGAGGTAAAACAATAAATTATAGCTCTCGGGGGTCCTATGACATGAGATGCCACGCTGCTGGTTTGTCTTCTTCTTCTTATGGTGCCTATCCGTTACGGATGTTGGACACTAACATGGCTATTCTGACTTTGTTGACTGCTGCCCTGAAAAGTCCGGTAGTGGTTAAGTTAAACCATTTCCGCAGGTTATGCAGCCAGGATATTCTTCTCCGTCCTGGACCTCTTTTCCCATGCACTTTACCTTGAAGTATGGTCCACCAAGTATGGTATGGTTACTATGAAGTATGTCGTACAATTCTAAAGGTCAATATCAACAAGCCCTTCACAAAATTATTAATAATTTAGTCTATTAATAAACTCTGAAATAATTTAATCTACTCTTCAACTAAAAGTACGAATAAAATGTGAAAGTGCATATTATGTCTGTAGTTGCAGTAAATAAATTAAACCGGGTTAATTTGTCTATGCACACCATGTGTCACTGAACAGCACCGGTTCCGACTAAAACATGGCTGATTCCTTCTGCGGAAAGGAGATGCGCGTACTTCTTTTTTTTTAAGCAGAGTGGGCATTCTGATTGTTTATTATTCTGTGCTTAAGATATCCTATATATTGTTGAAACGATAATATAGTTAAAGTATAGTCATACGTTCATATACAAAGTGTTCTAATTAAGGAAAAAATATTCTTCTTCTTCATGTACCATGTTCTTTCGAAACGTTGGTTACCATTATAGCTATCTTAATTGTATTCACTACCACCCTAAATAGCATGCTTGTATCAACACCATACCAATCTCGCAAGTTCTTTAACCATGAGGTTCTTCTTCGTCCTGACTGCGTTTGCCTGCTATTTTTTCTTGAATGATATTTTGTAGCAACCTATATTTGGGACCTCTCATTACATGTCCAAAATACTCCAGTTTTCTCTGTTTGGTGCTTTTTATGATCTCAGTGGTCTTGCTGAGACATTCTAGTATTGTGGAGTTTCGAATCTTCTCCACCCAGGAAACTTTTAAAATTCTTCTATAGCACCACATTTCGAAACCCTCAAGGCGATTTAGATCGATTTTATTTACAGTCCAGGACTCGACATCATAAAGTAAGACCGAGACCACGTAGCAGCGAAGTAGGCGGTTCCTCAAAGTCAATTTTAGGTCTCTGTTACATAACACCTTGGACATCCTTCTAAAGCTCTAGCCTGCTCTATCCTAGACCTAATTTCGTCGTGACTTTCTGCGTTACAATTTAATTGCTGTCCAAGGTAAACAACTAATAATAAGGAAAAAATATTAAAAAATTTAATATAACTAAAAAAAACAAAATTTAATTGTGAAATAATTGTGATATAACAAATAATAAAATAATAATTATAAATAATTGACACCCTGTGTATTTGCATATAACTTTAAATACGTCGGTATTCTCTATTATTACGCTTTCCCTACAATTAAAATAAATATTGTTTGGCTAAATTCATTGGTTTAGGAGTTATTTTTTTAATGCCCTACAATTTAAGGAAAATCGAAATATCTCCGAAATTACAATATTAAGGTATAAAAAATGCAATAAAATACGGGAGTTCCATAAAAACAAACATACGTTTGATACGTCCACTTTATGAGACCCCTCGTATATTTCAAAATAATTTTAAAATTGCCTTTACATTCCCATTGCAAATTTATTTCGACCACTTTCGATAATACATCTGTTTTGAGAGTCGACAGACACGTTTTCCTAGAACTGCATCGACATAGATATAATAGTAGGGCATCGACACCCAAAAATTTCAAGCCCAGATGTTTTTACTCTCTTGTAAACACTCATTTATATATAATTTCTTAGGGTAATAAAAAGCATATAAAACAATCCAGGAAACACACTTTTGAAATAATTCAATAATGATAAGTTATTAATTATGATTAATAGGATCTTATTGCAGAGAATATTTATTACACTTAACATACTTAATATCTTTTAATTAATAGTTTTAATTTTACTTTGAATGTAGGTACCTAGTTATTATACTATGTATTTTCCAGAGGCCTATGTAACCACTTTCTTCTATATCAATAGACAAACAATTTAAGTTTTAAGTCTTAAAAGTACCATTGATATAGTCCAAGATAAATATTGTAAATAAACAATAATGGTAAATTGAACTGAAAGCTACAACATTGAAAAGTGTTTTAATCCTTAAACTCTAAAAAAAATAAACAAAAAAATATGTAGATGTGTAAAATGAAAAAAAAAGCGTTATACCTCTTCATGAAAAGCAATCATTATTTATGATGTCAAAATTTAATAATTCACTCAAGATATTGTCATGCGCCACCTTCGTAGCTTTTCATATCTACACCATGGGCACTTTAGTTTATTCCTAAACTCGCATTTACGATTATGAAAACAAACTCTTATAAAATAATACTTTTATTTGAACTTTAATGACTTCATCTGATACTTAGATCTTCCATAAATAATAAATAATAAATCATTTATTATTAATTTCACATCTTAAATTAATTATTTATCAAATAAACTATTAATATTATTTAATAAGCAACACAAAATATTCCTGAAGCCGTGTCAAACATTTAGTAGCTTTGCCACCATTTTCAGTTCGACTGAGTGCGTTGTATGACAAAGATAGGGAATGTTCGATTTGGAAAATATTACCGCGGACATAGTGTTCATTTTTTTCGAATCCTGAAAAATTAACATAAAATTAACTTATGTTAATTAATAAATTAACATAAAATAAACATTATAGAAGTTTTCAGGGACTTTCGGCCCTCGTTAATGATGTAATCTTTCATTCTGCGTTTAAATTTTTCAAAAATATTTATTAGTTTTCTCAGGATTCGAAAAAAATGATTGCATTTAAAAAGCATTGGCCCGAAATTTTGCGCCTACGCTCTTAATTTTAAAAATATTGTTTAAATTTTGAACATAGCACGAAGCTTTGTGCTAGTCTGCAGTATCACCTACTTTAACACTTTTCTTACTACTACCCAACCACAGACATTCGTGGAAAATGCAAACCATTATCTCTCTCTCTCTCTCTCTCTCTTCTCTCTCTCTCTCTCTCTCTCTCTCTCTCTCTCTCTCTCTCTCTCTCTCTCATTTTTGTTCCCGTAGATAACAGACGCTTTGTTCGCCTCTTTAAAACATAAAATTGTTAAACGTCATTTTATGATATTTAATAACTACATGGATCAAATGAAACTACTAAACCTGTACAGGTGAAGTCGTATAAAAAAACATTTTAAATTTACAATTAAAAATAATGGTCATCTATCGAGATGAAAAATATCCTATCTCCTAAGTTGGAACAACAAATACACTTTCATACAATTTTGTGAACTGAAATCGGTTCAGTGGTTTTTGAATATTAGCTTGGACAAACAGCGTGCCACGAGATTTTTATATATAAAGGTAAGTAAATATGAACTTAGGAGAATACTGTTGTTACTTGATTTTTTTTAAAGAGATATGTTTTAGATTTTAATAAGTAATGAAAATTATTTTGTTCTTTTTTTTAAACACATGAATACTATTTTTTACTACTGAATATATATTTATGTTAATATACTTACCTCCTAATTGCTTTGGCATCTACAACATCTTGGGGAAAGTGTTCTAAATGAATAGGAGCAACTAATAATCCCACAAGTTGATCATGACAATATTGATCAATGTTTTTACGGTTCTTTAGCCGTTGCGCCTTATGTGCAAATTCATAAATCTGATACTCCAAAATATATTCTTTTTTAGTACTGAGTGCTGTTATAATAGTATTCACAGCTTCTTTTGACAAATTGCGGGAAATAAATATGTCACACAAAATCATATACCAAGTACCGATTCTGTGTGAACGTGGAAAATTTTCGATCAGATATTCTAAAAATTCTTGGACCTTGTCGGCGTATTTGGTTTTTAATGTTTCACAAATATTGGTTAAAATTCCACAGTATACTGACTCGGCAGTAAAACGTTTTAGATGTGGTGCGTTGAGATATATTTCGTCGTTACTAAAAACAAAAAAAAATGTAAAACAATTTTTACGTAAATCAAACATAAATAAATACATTATTACTTGGATTTCATCAAACAGAGGGAACTGATAAACATGCACTTTCCAGGCTCAACAAATCTGGATGATGCAGATAGGCAAACCAACATAGACCAAAGGCTCACTAGACCAAGGTCTACAGATTGGGAAATGACACAGCAATTATAAGACCAAACAATTAGATGGGCTATAAAATAGGTTTCGGCCATATAAGTCTCCAGGGACAGATGGCACATATCCAATACTGTTGCATATAGTCATATAGACCGATAAGCCTATCTTATTTTCTATTAAAAACGCTGGAAAGGGTTCTTGATAGGTACATCAGAGACGAAGTACTAAAAGATAATCCTCTAAGCAATCGTCAATATGCATAATGATCTAAATAGGCTTATCTCAAAGTCAATGTAAGACAAAGAGAGATAGCAATGGCCGCATTTTAAGATATAGAAGAGGCAATTAATAATATTACTACCAGCTATTTGATAGGAGACATGAGTACACGAGGCACACCTGAGGTAATATGCAGATGGATAAGGGCATCCCTAGAGAATAGGACAGTAATGTCCACTCTGGGTAAAGCAACCATCAAAGCAAAAGTGAGTGGAGGATGTCCACAAGGAGGAGTTCTGTCCCCTCTACTATGGGCAACCTTAGTAGATGGTTTCTTCAGAAATCTGTCCACAGAAGACTTTTATTGTTTAGGATATGCTATCGTTGTCAGGGGCAGGTTTGCTCAGGTCGTGTCTGAGAGAATACAAGAAGCCCTAAATATAGTTGACGATTGGTGTAAACAAGAGAGACTGATCTTCAATGCTCAGAAAACACACATCGTCAATTTCACCAAAAAAAAAAAACAGCACTACAACGTCTCAAAACACCGGTGCTAGGAGGAACGGAGATTTCATTTGACAAAGAAACAAAACACTTTGGGGTGTATTTTGATCATAGGCTTACATGGAACACTTACATTCCGAAAACCACACAGGAAGCTACTATGTCCCGGTGCAGATGTAGAAGAATGTGTGGTAAGAATTGGGGACTTAACCCCAAAATAATGCTGCTACGAAATACACAAAGGCTAGCCTGCCCGTGTATTACGGGGCCATAAAACAACTCCTACTGCATCGTTGGAAGTTCTGCTGAATCTACCACCATTTCATATCTTTATACACAGCAAAGTCAGATCATTGATGCACAGATTAATCCATAGTCAGCGACATATAAACCAGATGTATGGTACTGACAACAGAAAGCTATTCGAGGAGCTAAAAACCGATATCGTAATGGAGCAACCTATCGATGCAACAGTTACACGAGATATAGCTTTAACAATAAATTCACAATTAAGATACCAGGCAGGGAAGACTGGAATAAAGGTGTACCCGTGCAAGCTGCTGCTACCTGGTACACGGATGGCTTAAAAATATCGGAGAGTGTGGGAGCCGGCATAGTAGAGACAAATCAAAGGATACATTTCCCGGTAAGTCTATCTAAGAATGTAACAGTTTTCCAGACTAAAACAACCTCAAGCCATCACTGCGTGGAAGAAATAGAAAGGCAGGAAAGAACGTTCTGTTCGGTTGCCATTTCCACAGATAGTCAGGCACCGCTTAAGGCATTCAATACTGTAGAGATCAATTCTAATCTAGTATGGGATTGTGCGTGTGCCCTAAATAAACTAGGAGACCGTAGCAAGGTTACGGTAGCATGGGGCACAAGGGTCATAAGGGCAATGAAAAAGCAGATGAAATGAAATGGCTGGACAAGGCTCATCAATGCCATTCGGTGAGCCGGAACCCTTCTGCGGCATTGCAAAGTCAGTAACAAGAATGGCTACAAGGAAGTGGGTAGCTTACAAATCTCTGGAATGGTGGAGGAATTCACCAGGACAGCGACAGGTGAAACAGTTCATTACAGAACATTAGCCAAAATTTACGACAGACCTAATAAGCAAAGACACAGTCTAAGCCATAGTAGGTATTTTAACAGGCCACTGTAAGCTGAATAGGCACTTAAAGCTAATGGGATTATCAGATGATGACCTGTACAGATTTTGTCACCTCGAAGAAGAAACAGCAGAGCTCATTTTATGTCAGTGTGACAGCCTGGTAAATGTGCGGTTCTTTGTATTGGGAGAAAAAAATCCAATCTAAGCTATTAGACTTTATAAAAAACTCACGCTAGAGAATGCTATCTAGGACTAGAGGACCACAATAGATCTAAAAAGGTCGCAGTGGAATAGGCCAAAAGCCCACCTCTCTAAATCTATTTATCTATAGAGGGAAAAGAAGATTATCTGAGCTGCATATATATACAGGGTGCGGCAAATAAACCGCCAATTAAAAATACCTCAAGAATTAAAAGTAACTGAATCATGAATATTGGTATGAATGGGATTTGCAGAGTGACCTATTTAATGAAAATATTTTCATCTATTTGCTCTTCCGGTTATACCGGAATATATCTTATACTCTAATAAACTACATTCACTTTAGTTCTCTAGATCTTAGTTTAGATCTTGACAAAGCATATGATACTTCGACAATTTGTGTGTTGGGCACTTAATAAGAAACGAGTTCCCATTGAGAATATAAAGATTCCATATTTATGATAGAGCACAACTAGTGTGGAGACAGGTGCAAGTGTGAGAGATTGTACTATTTCGTTTTTAAGAATTTAAATTTAAACTATCATTTACTTACGTTCGTTTCAAAGTCGTTAAAGTTTCATGAACTTTCTTGCCAATTTCTTGTAGTACTAAAGTATCATTATTTTTAATCGCTTCTACAGTTTTTTTGAGCTCACATGCTTCTGCATACCTAAAATTTTTAGAAAAAAATAAGTTAATTATCAATGGTTTGTATGAGATAATGAAACGAACCCGTCGAATATGATGTTAAAGATCTATTAATGATTTAATTAAAGAGTTTAGAGAGCAAATCATACAAAACGTATGAGCGCAAGAGAGGAAAAATCTTAAAATTTAAGATAGAAAATGACAAATATAAAAAGGTAGAAGAGCAAACAGCATTTAGAGTAAAAAGATCAACAGTAAAACACTTTTACTAACAAGAACCACATGATCAAAAACTACATATTCTATTTGTATGATCAAAAACTACCATTTCTATTTGTAAACCTAAAGAAAGTCCACGGTGGTGTCCTGACTAAACTATGGGAAGCGATAGTAAAAATTAACACAAATATAGAGCCAACAAAAGCGATTAAAATAATTTACTAAGACAAACAGAACAAAAATCAAACAGATAAATAAGGCAAAGGATTTATAATAAAAGGTATTGAACAAGGTTGCTATCTTATTCTATACCTATACTGTTTAAAATATTTTTAGAAAACATTGAAAAATGGAAGAGGAAATGCAGACAATTGGGGTTTTACTGAATGACTGCACGCTGTATACATTAAAGTATGTGAAAATGTGCAATGTAGTAGAACCAAAAAGATACTAGTCCGAATACTGGATAAAGTATTTAAGTTAAGAAATATGGCCAGTAAAAAATATATAAAAAATGCTACAAGCAACATAAATATACTTCTGTAGAAGACCAGCAAGCACGACCATGTATACATATATGTCAACGTAGTCACACAACAACGCATCAAATAAAAGACGAACAGTGAATCTGGTGTAAACATGTACAAAGAATGACCAATATAAGAATGACCAAAAAAATTAGAGAATGACCAGGACTGTGTACCATTGTCCTCTCTTTTCATTGTTGCAATCAATGGAATGCTGCATCGGAGAACTTTTTGATGTTTGTTGCATACATAGTTTGGCTTAGAGGGTTATGGGGATAATAATGTTAATAAATGATTGGTTGTGATTATATCTGGACCTGTGGTGTTAGCGTGTTCGGAATCGATTGAACGAAACATGGCGCTGGGTGTATATTTTGTTGTGGTAATATTATAGTTAAGGACTGCGTTGGTTGAAGCATGCTGGGCGAATATTGAATATTTGAAAATAAGGCTATTATCGAGCACAAGTTAATTAAATCTAGCCCAAGTACTTTCGCTTAAAATAGCATCTTCAGGGGCATTTCGTCAAAATAAGAACTATCCGGCAAGCGGATAGTTCTTATTTTGACTGTACTGACAGAGAATGTAGCGTAGAAGTAATTTTAAACTGTTTGTCCTCGTTTTAGTGTAGTGTTTTGTATAATTTATGTTATTTTTAATATTTCCACAATCTACGCTTGCCGGATAGTTCTTATTTTGACGAAATGCCCCTGAAGATGCTATTTTAAGCGAAAGTACTTGGGCTAGATTTAATTAACTTGTGCTCGATAATAGCCTTATTTTCAAAGTTCATTTATTCGAGCATTCAACCTCATTTCATTGAATATTGAATATTTTCGGGTTGTTGTTGTGGTCCGGTGTTGTACATTTCTTTTCAATGGAATGTAGTAAAAACTAAATTTAATAAAAACATTTTGCTCTTGGCTTCCCCACTAATACCTAAGATTGTAGTATTAGTTTATTACTTATTAATTACTTCAACATTTAACAAGACACAAACACTTTTTCCGGTTGTTGTATTGTTTTCTAATGGAGAATTAATTACTACGTGATAAGGATGATAAGGTATACATTGCACTAATTATTTATTTGATACTTGTTTCCTGTTAGAAGGTTAGTACGAGACTGATTGAAAATTTTGAATGAGGAGATTTGAAATGCCGTTAGAAAGTACATACACAAAAACTAGAGAAATTTTTATGATGAATATATAATATGTAATGTATGTTTCAGTGAGAAATGCTCTATTCTAAAATTAACAGAAATAAATAGATAAATAAACAGATTAATAAAACCCTTACCTCAGAAATTCTTCTCTACCACTAAAAACTTTATAGTTTTCAGGTAAGAAAGCTGGAAAATCGCATTTTAAATCCCTTTGTAGGAAATCTTCAATATTTTGAAATCTTGTATTAGTGAATGTTGCTAATAGGTAAACGTGATTAATATGTTTTTTAAACGAGTCGTTAATCCTTATAGCATTCCCCATCTTCTTGGTTATTTCTTCTAAGATAATATTACTCGTAGACTTAATACCGCAAATAGTAGGCTGCCGTTTACACCTATTTAATAAAGTTTCTATCATCTTATATTTGGTAGAGTCGGCTTTAATTTTGAGGTTTAAACAAATATTTTTAACATCTTTTGTAGGCAGTTGTTTTAGCAGTGATTCCACACTATCTTGTTTATAATCTGCAAAATGCAAGAGTATTTTATCCATTTTTATAAATATCCATTATTAATAATTTTCGAAAGGGAAAGGCATTGGGAAAGCAATTCTGGGGTTGGTGGTGTTGTCGGAAAGATATTTGAAAGGACAAAGACAATTTTAGGCTTGTTTTTTTGATCACCGGAAGGAATTCTACCATAGAAAGCACGACACAATTATTCAAATATTACAAGAGATAGGGCTCAATGGCCGAGACATAATTATTATCTGCAATATATACTGAAATCATGAGCGCGTTCTTACTGCAAATGGCAATACCAACTATGTCAGGCATGCCTCCTGCCTCTGCTTCTTTTTAGAAGAAGAATAATATCTAAAGTAACGTTCAGAGGGTGTTAATTTCAACGGAATATTGATCAATAACCTAAGATATACAGACGACATTGTGGTAATGAATGAATCGGAAGAATATCGATAGAGACTAATAAAAGTCCTGTCGGAATCTAATGCCAAAATGTGACTGAGCAGGACTTCCCAAACTTATTCGTACTGTGACGCCCTTGGGACCTTGCTATTTTTTTTTGCGATGCCCCCTCAACCCAACCCCCAATAATACTTACCAATTTTAGTACTAGCCTAGTAACAGGTTATAGTTATAACAAAACACTATTTAAACATTTATATATTTTATTAGAAATTAAGAGCGAAATCAAAACATAGGCACTACAAAATTACCACTCACATTTCTATTTCTAAATTTATGTTTGACCTGTACTTGCTTTTAATTACTGCAACTGCAGAAAAGCCTGTTTCGCACAAGTACGAAGTCGCAAATGGTAATAAAACCTTTAGTGCAGCAGTGCTAATGGCATGATATTCATGCGAAAGTCAGCTCCAAAATTCAAACGGTTTGTCCTTGTCGTATGAAAGCTTTAGACTGGAATCACAGGACAATTATGTTAGTTGTTCTTCTTCCTCTGTTGAAAGTGCCGATGGCGTGGATGACGGGAAAAGGTTTCTGAACCAATCATATCGCTCCATATCTTCGGGAAAATATTTCTCAAAGTGTTCGCTCAATGATAACATCTGTTGTGTAAACATATTTTTTAAAGAGGAATCAAGAATTTCTATGGGTTTTTCTTGTAGAATACCTTGTAAAGCACGGAAACAGTCAATTTCTTGAACTTCTAATTTTCACTTCCATAAGAGCAACTTCTTCTCTAATCCAGTAATTTTATCTGCCAATTGCGAGATATTTCAAATTCATTATTTAATTTGTATACAAATGCGAGTTCGTTGCATTTGGACAGCCAACGTGTCGTGTTTTAATGTAGTTCACCACTTTAATAATGCTATCCACAGTAAAATACACAGTATCCACAGTACTAAAATTAATGGACTGTATATAACCTGGGTAGTAATCTATCGTCAGTATGGACCTTATAAGAGAGGAGTAAGAAACACCTATTAAAAAAGAGAGAGGTATATTAGGTCCGCCCTTTATATTGTCGAAAATGCATTGGTGGAAATAATAAATTCAACAGAAGCTTACATGAATATATACAGAAGATTTAAATGGCATCTTACTGTTTTTTATTGGGAATATGCCACAATTTTACGTTACAATAAGTTTAATTTAACATTTTGATTTTCACTTCGAAAATCGATTTATATAAATAAAATTTATTAATGTTTCGTATTTTAAGTACGATTTCCGAATTGGAAATCTAAATGTCAAAACAAGCTTATTTTAAAGTCACATTGTGTCATATTCCCAATAAAAATAATAAACTGCATTATGACGCCACAATAAAAAAGCTTCATACAAAATTACTTGGAAACGTCGCGTCGTCAAAGTAACGACACTTTGATTTTATTACTGTGGTAAAGTATAAAATTTGTTTTATAAAAATCTGTTCAATCAAATAAAAAATAATTCCAAGACTGCTGTTTAAATTAAAAATAATTCCAAACATTTAGAAATTCTAAACCAAATAAAATTTTTAGGTCAATAAATCAGATCACCAAATTGTAACGAACAGTAACCAAATCTATTATACAACGCATTTCTCATGGCGTTGAGTTCATCTGCCGATATGTTTTGGCTAATCTTTTTGTTAGATTATCTTTTCCTTCAAATCCTCCCAGTTGGTGGCTCGCTCAAACTCATGCCTGTATAATTTCGTTTTTAGTATCCCCCAAAAATAAAAATCTAGAGGAGCTAAGTCGGGTGACCAGGGGGGCCATTTTATTTTACCGTCTGAGAGTTGTTTCTTTTCAAAATATTCCTCACTGTTTTTGCATTCAAATCAACTTCATCGGCAATTTATTTACTTGGCGTCATTTACACGGCGTCGCTTCAGCCAATGCACAAACTTTTCAAATTGATGATGGCCAATACAGTTTTTTCTATTTTATTATTTGTACCCGTTCTTCTGTTGTATAAACAGTCGGCATATCAAATTTTATCTTATACTTACGCGGTTACCCCCGAAAAGAAATACATAGCATAGCGTTCCGCCTGTCTCGTATGCAGTTTAACACTGAAGACAACAAGAGAACGGAAGAATGGCGATGTTGCCAAAATTATCTTGTTTTATTGGAAATTAGGTTAAAATTTCGTCAAATAAGAATGCGAATCTGTAAATTTCTCATGGATTTAAGAAATTTTGTACCAGTATTTGTGTCAATTAGTGTTTCATTTTTTAATATCATCATCCAGTCTCGAATGGCAATACAACCTCGCCACTAACCGCCAATTTTTTGAATCAACTCAATGTTTTAATTCAAATATGTAATAATACAAACCTATACCGCTGTTTTTTACGTATAAGCTGGATCGGAAATAATCGTCTGGCGTTCACTAATAAGCGTGCATGAGGAATGTGGAGGGGAGACAAAGGGGAAATATGATTATTATCTGTCTCTTCGCTGAAAATATGATTTTATATCAGTGTTAGATATCCTGTTAAATTCTAGTATACCGACCATAAACTTTTATCTATACCGTATATACATCATATATCAGAAGACATGTTGATTGCGTGAATAGTTAGATCCAAAACCACTCCCACAAATAATTAAAATATTGGTACTCACCTGTATCAACAAATTTATTTTCCTTTAAAAAATTGAAAATCTTAATAACATTTTCATCTGTCAAATTGGGCATATAATCCTTACAGATTTTGAAAATATTGTGCCACGCGACCATTCTGGTATATAATTTGTAACAAATGTACTGATATTCTTTATTTGCAGATTGTAAAATATTTGACAGCTCGATTGCTTTGTCGTCAATAACATGAACAAGATTCTGGTTATGCAAAACTGTGTGAAATACATCGTTCATCATCTTTAAATAGTCCTCGTTCATTTTGTTTTCGTCCTTTTTTGGAGTTTTTGTAAGTGATGTTGACGACGTTGGTTCCTTTTGGTTCTCGTCATTCTGATTACACATGGTATTATTTTTGGTATTTTTTTTACTGGCCACTTTTTTCTTTTTAGGTGATGGTTGGGACGTGGCTTCAGTTCTGTTTTGGTCTTCGGGCAATCCTTTACTTGAGGAATTTTCCTTAGTTATACTCTTACAAGAGTTGGCAGATGGATCAGACGTTGTACCGTTCGTACCGTTTGTACATGATGTTGATGGTGTTGACTTATTTTGGTTCCCGTTATTCTGATTACTCGTAGTAGTATCTCTTATATTTGTTGTATTGTCGTCTCCTTTTTTCTTTTGAGGTCGTGGTTGGGACGTTGCTTCAGTTGTGTTTTGGTCTTCGGGCAATCCTTTACTTGAGGAATTTTCCTTAGTTATAGTCTTAGAAGAGTTGGCGGATGGATCAGACGTTGTACCGTTCGTACCGTTTGTACGTGATGTTGATGGTGTTGACTTATTTTGGTTCCCGTTATTCTGATTACTCGTAGTAGTATCCCTTATATTTGTTGTATTGTCGTCTCCTTTTTTCTTTTGAGGTCGTGGTTGGGACGTTGCTACAGTTCTGTTTGGGTCTTCGGGAAATCTTTTGCTTGAGAAACTTTGCTTAGTTATATTCTTAGAAGAGTTGTCGGTTAGATCAGGTGTTGTACTGTTCGTATGACCTGCACAATCATTGTTAATATGACGGGAGGAAGTTGATGCTGTCCCTAAAAATATAATAAAATTTTAATTCATATATCGTTGAATTAATACTTTATTTTTATTAAAAAGTTTTTTGTTTGTGGTAACTTGAGTTTTTCTTTTAATATGAAAATATGAACATTTTTTACAAAACTAAATTTTTTAGGTGTTTGAAATACTCTTCTTCTTTGAGTACCGTTCCCAAGTTTTAGGCGTGGGTAGCTTCCATGACGATTTGCCGATACCGTTTTCGATCTTGCGCGGCATGTAATAATTCATCTGCTGATAAGCCAGTCCATTGACGAAGGTTTCGGAAATGTGCGTATTTCTTTCTACCAATTCTTCTTCTTCCGTCAATCTTTCCGTTGAGTATCACATTCAAGTTTTAGCGTGTAGCTGCAGCTTTAAATTTACACATTTTAACTGTGAGTTTTTTCTCTCAGCGAAATTCGTAATACAATTTACAGTATGTATGAATGAAGTAAGTATACTCTTCGTTAGATATCATAAAGTGAATTAAGATAACATGAAATTTAATTTAATTCTTTGTAGAAGAACATACGACTTTGACCTCTTTGCCACACACGTCAAGAATTGTGCAGCAGTATCGTCAGGAGGTTGAAATTCCTGTCATGGATTGGCCTGCGAGAAGTCCTGACCTCAAACCAACAGAAAATTCGAAATGAAAAGAAAATTGGAATAGAGATAAGATACTGCTCTGTTGTTTGGTTCCCATTTCATCAAGTCTACATTGATGGATTGGTGAGGGTTCAGCGGAAGTTTCCAAGATCTTTAGGTTTTAAAGCACATATTAATATAAAAAATACTAAAAATTATTATATTCATTATTCTGTAATACTGTCTTAATTTAACATTGCTTAACTGAAGAACCGCAGGTTGAGAGCTGATATGTTATTTTTGTTTAAAACTCTAAACAATGTTATTTAATTGTCCCCCATTATTAGCCAATGTGTACTTAGATACAATACAGAAAACTCGACACACTACACTCTTTTATATTCCTTTTTGATAGGACTGATTATGCTCATCACTTTCCCTTGTTGAGAATGCTCAGCTCTTGCAATGACTTCCTATTGGATCCATTCTGTCCAAACATTAATGTTTTCAAAAGGCAACTTAGAATCTAATTATTACTCTGAATATGTGATATTTTTTAACTTTTGTGATTTGATATACTGTTTATTTGGTATACTATACAAATTTTTACTGTTTAATTGTTTCTTTGTTATTGTTTTGATGTTTATTGTACCGGGTGGTCCAATAAGCCGATCTCTCGGCTATATATCAGAAACTATTCATGTTATAACTTTAGGAAAAAAAATTCCTTAGTAAAAGTGGCCAAGAGAAATCGCTGGAAATAACTTTCAAGATTCTGGATTAACAGCTAGGGGGCGTAATCTGCGAAGACAATTTTGAAAACCAGTTTTTTGGGAAATATGACCAATTATACCAAGTGTTAAATAAGTAAACTAGAAAGGGGCATAAATTCTGCACAAAGTTGTTCAAGTACTTTTTTTTTATTTTTTCAAATAAAGGGTGGGGGAGAGTGGGAAAGTATTTGTAGATATATATCTATAACTTTGGTTTGGTCCAACCGATTTTAATGAAATTAGTGTCATTAGAAAGAATGTGGATGAATTAATTCACATCTACTATAAAATACTTGCATTTAGTTTTCATAGTCGTAGGTAGAGGGTACTTTCAAATAGAAAGAATTAAAATTTGTTTTTCTTCAAAATGTTTAATGGAAACACCTATTTATTGCAAATTATAATGGAACTGGAATAAATTCGTAACAAAATGGAGCAAACCGCATGTTAATAGCTTTTGTTGAACTCGAGATATGAATAAAAACTCATAAACATAAGTAAGTATAGTATTGACACACCCTGTATTATAAATTACATTAAAAAATAAGTCAGTAGTTATTTTCAAATTTTTTTATAGCAGAAGAATCTTAATGTTGATACCTATTTTGTAAAAAATAGTTTTTCGAAACTAAGTAGGCTACGACAATGAATTTGACGGGGAGTTCATATTGTTTATTTATTGACAGCAGTCAAAACATTGTTAAGAAGTGCTATATTATAATTCGAATTAAAGATTGCACTATTTTCAATAGATATTAATATTGGTAATATTAGTAATTAATTATCAGTACAAATAATTCATGATGAGTATATCAAATTGTATGATATGTTTGGAGTTTATTTCGAATGTCACCAAAATGCCGCTATTGCCTCACGTATGTATACCTATATTTTGTAAGATATCGTGACAGGAGACATTATGGCAAAGAAGTATTTGAAAGAAAGGCAAAAAGATTAAGAGAAACTGGTAGTTTTCTCGTCCTTGTTTTAAACGACGTAGTAGAGTTATGACCGAAGATAATTCAATCACTGTTCTTGCTTTAATTCAACAGAATCCACATATAAGTAGTCCGAAATCTCTACTTCTTTGCCACAATATCTCCTGCCAGGATATCTTACAGAATATATACGTGAGGCAATAGCGCCATTTTGGTGATATTCGAAATAAACTCCAATCATATCATATAATTTGATATACTCATCACGAATTATTAGTACTGATAATTAATTACTAATATTACCAATATTAATATCTATTGAAAAAAATGTAATTTTCAATTCGAATTATAATACATATAACAGTTCTTAACAATATTTTGACTGCTGTCAATAAATAAACAATATGAATTCCCTGTCAAATTCATTGCCGTAGCCTACTTAGTTTCGAAAAAACAATTTTTAATCAAGTACCTACTGACTTATTTTTTAATTTATTTTATAATACAGGGTGTGTCAATACTATACTTACTTATGTTTATGCGTTTTTATTCATATCTCGAGTTCGATAAAAGCTATTAACATGCGGTTTGCGCCATTTTGTTACGAATTTAATCCAGTTCCATTATAATTTACAATAAATAGGTGTTTCCATTAAAAATTTTGAAGAAAAACAAATTTTAATTTTTTCTATTCGAAAGTACCCTCTACCTACGACAATTAAAACTAAATGCAATTATTTCATAGTAGATGTAAATTAATTCATCCATACTCTTTCTAATGACACTAATTTTGTTAAATTCGGTTGATCCAAACCAAAGTTATAGGTATTTATCCACAAATACTTTCCCACTCTCCCCCACCCTTTATTTGAAAAAATAAAAAAAGTACTTGAACAACTTTGTGCAGAATTTATGCCTCTTTCTAGTTTACTTATTTAACACTTGGTATAATTGGACATATTTCACAAAAAACTGGTTTTGAATATTTTCTTCGTAGGTTACGCCCCCTAGCGGTTAATCCAGAATCTTGAAAGTTATTTCCAGCGATTTCTCTTGGTCACTTTTACTAAGGAATTTTTTCTCCTAAAGTTATAACATGAATAGTTTCTGATATATAGCCGAGAGATCGGCTTATTGGACCACCCGGTACATGATCTTTCCTTTTTACCAATTTTTGTATTTTATTGTAAATGTTTCTACCATTGAAATAAATAAATGATGATGTTTTGAATATAACAACAACAAGGTCATAGATTCAAGGTATATACTTTACACTATAAATATATATATATATATATATATATATATATATATATATATATATATATATATATATATATTTTACACTAGATAGTATGTTCACCTACAGTTTTCCAAAGTAAAAATGTTTTGAAATGTTATTTACTCACCTGGCTTTTTATAAACTGGAAGAGGAAACGGTAGCCCATTTGGTTCAATTGGTGGTGATGGTGGTGGTGGTACACTTTCTGGTCCTCGTAAAAGATAATCTAATTAATATTTCAATAACACTGTTCTACAGCAATTTTGTTAATTAAAGAATTTTTGCTATTTCTTACGTATTTTACTATCCTAAAGATGGTCATCACACATGGAGGTGGTGTAATGCCAAAGATTATGTGATTTGACACTATTAGACTCTTTTTTGTGAGATTGTTTTAAGTCAAAAGGCTATGGGAGTAAGCCTCAAATCACAGCGAGCTTCAAAGCATTTTGGCAATGAGAATCCTTTTAAATGATAAAAAACAATTTCCTAGCACGTAATATATATATATATATATATATATATATATATATATATATATATATATATATATATATATATATATATATATACAGGGCTACGCAATTGAACTGTTACCAACTTCACATCCATATATCTGGCAAATCAGTGTGATTGCGTTATATTTATTTGGCTGGTATCGCACCATAACTCGTTATAAGCGCTATGGTGGTGGACGAAAAAAGACAGCAACATCATCTGAAATGGTTCGGCTGTGAAGGCTCGACTTGAGCGCAATCCACGTCGTAGTGGTAATCAAATGGCCAACGAACTGAAAATATCCCAGCGAATCATGCAACGAAAATTGAAAAAGGAGCTCAAGATCAAGCCTTACAAGTTCCAAAAAGCACATAATCTTACACCAAAGCAAAAAAAAAATTGGCTTCAAATGGCAAAGAAGTTGGTACGCACGAATGTGGCAAATTTCTGAACATAGTGTTCTCTGATGAGAAAACTCTACCTATTGAGTCGTTCATAAACTCTCAAAATGATCGTGTTTACTTGACCGAACGCACCTACGAAAATTTGAGCTTACGAACGGTCACCCGAAGTAATTTCCCATCTCAAGAAATGGTATTGGCAGCTGTAACCGCCGTTGGATGCTCTCCAATCGTTTTTATTGAATCTAATGTCAAAGTGAATGCAACTCATTATCAGGAAAATGTTTTAGGAGCTGCTTTAGAGTCGTGGGCAACAACATTTCGGTTGTAGACCACGGACGTTCCAACAAGACTCAGCACCGTCTCATAAAGCAAGTGTGAACCAAGAAAGCTCCAACTCGTTTTTTGATCGTTTGAAGGCCATAGTCAAGGCAAAAAGTGGCCACATTGAGCTAAAGTGAGTGGATTCTGAAATGTTGAGTATTTTCACACATTTTTGTCATTTGAATCAATAAAAAATAATTTCACACAAAAAATTTATGGTCATTTGAATAAGTAACAGTTCAATTGCCTAACCCTGTATATATATTATATATTAAATATATAATGTTCGGATCCCATTTATACTCCAAAAGTTCTTTTTCACATTTTCAGATATTGTCTGCCACTGTGGAGTGTGTTTTTGGTACACCACAGAATGGCCCTCTTCTGATAAAAAGAGAAGTACTCCTCCTTTAGCAAGACTATTAGCAATCTCATTACCAACAAGTTCCTTATGCTCTGGCACCCACAGTACAGTGACTTTATTGCACCCTGTCCGAAGCGGGAGTTGCAATTCCAAGCTGTTGACTTGACTCATAAGTTGTAAACTTCAGTACCTTCAGTGTAGTTTGACTGTCTAGAGTCTAGGATAATAAATATTTTAGCCAAAGCTGAGATATTTTTTAAGGCACAATTTAATCGATTGTTAGCGGGCTCCGTTTTAAACAGTGCAGGAGTATTATTCCCTCTTGTGTTTTTGACCCATTAGTACAAAATGTGAAGGCACTTCTTGTGATTTGTGTGATTTCACAATACAAAATCAGAATTAGCCATTAATTTAGAAACCAATTAAATGACTATTAGATAAAAAAATACTTACTTGGTCACTCAATCACACACAAACAGTAAAATATAGACAAGTAATTATATTATTTGTCTTTGATCCTTTACTGAATTTGATATTAACATATGATTTGTCTTTGATCCTGTACTAAATTTGATATTTATAAACCCCAAACTCTCCATTAACTGAAAGTGAAATATGTATTGTAAGATGAATCATAAGTAATCATAATCCATTTGAAATTTCAGATTAATAGGGTATTCCCAGAATTGTTTCCAGGTACCTACATACCCAGTGCCGGATTAAGGGGGGGGGCTATGGGACTCTTAGCCCCCGGCGGTAAATTTTGAGAGGCGGTACGTCGCTAACATCACGTTTTAATTCTATATGTGGATATTTCAAATTTATGGGGTTGATTTTCTGAAATATCATGGTAATAATAATAAATTACGTTAGATGCCACAAATAAATAGCTTCAGAAATCGCATTTCGTCGCACAAAAACACGTTTCATGTTTCCGGGAAATCCACTGCGCCTGGCGACAGCGTGTCCGGCTCCAACACGGTATGTCGTCAATCGTTAGTCGTGTTAGCGTAGTTTTCGAGACTTGTCTCAAATTTTACTTATTTTTATTAGTGAAGTGTTTTCGTGACGTTTCTAAAAAATGAGCGGAAAGGAAGGAGGTGCATTTTGGAAGCGACAAAAGTTAGAAAAGCAACAAAAATTAAATGCAATATTAAAAAAAAAACCCAAGATTCAGCTTTTTTTTACCAAATCCAGGCAAGATAGTATACCAACGAGCACTTCTTTTCAAGACGATCCAATTACAACAGTTTCAGATGTTTTAGAAGGTAGGTTTATTTGACTGTTTTAGTTACTTTTTTAATAAAAGAAAATTCGCAGCAGGATCTTCATCACGTCGAGATGATTCATCCACAGCAAATTCAGACCCACTTTGTGATATCGAGTTACATCCTGAAAAGAGTTCTCCTGAACGTCAAATTCTAGTCGAAAGTGGTGTTAATCGAGTTGATTTACAAGATCCAAAATTCTGGCCAAGAAATTGTGTAGATGAAGTGCTGAAAGAATTCAAAACACAGGATCTTAATTCTTTAGACTTTGAATATTCAAAAAGAAAAATAGGGAAACAAAACAGGTACTGCACTAAATCACTATTTTATAAGGTTTTATAGAATGGTGAAAAAATTCGGCGTGACTGGTTAGTTTATTCCAAAAGCACATGCTCTTTATTTTTCTTATATTGTCGACTCTTTTCAAACGAAAATTGCACTTTTTCCCTTTTTACTGGATTTGACGACTGGAAAAAGGCTAAAGAAAAATGTGACAGTCATGAAAGATCAGTCGTTCATTTAGAACATCTTAAAAATTTTATTTCAAGAAATTCATTGAGTATGAGAAAGATCGATGATTCTCTGCGGCAACAGATTGAACATGAGACCACATATTGGCGAAACACATTACAAAGAGTCGTTTGTGTCATAAAATTCTTAGCTAGTAGTAGGACTGCCTTTTAGAGGAACCGACGAAAAATTTGGTTTGACTAGCAATGGCAATTACCTTAGATTACGTGTTTGCGTTGTTTGCGGAATATGATCCTCTTTTAAAAGAACATATTGTTACGAACACGTAGCGTGTCTCCGTATAGCGGCTGCATCTCGAAAGCGACTCGATGCTTCCAGAAACATCTGTCACGTACGCCTAGAGGTGGGAACTTTCTAGAAAATAGTAACTTTGGTATATATATGTAACGATCTTAGGAGTTAGTTTAGTTGTTAAGATATTACCGAACTGTAAAGTTATAAATAAATATATTTATATAAATTCGAACCGCTCGTTTTATTTAATCACGCTACAATATTGAAAAATATGCTTCAAAAGGCTGTGGTTCAGTATCTTATTTATCAAAAACGATTTGTTTTGAATTTTTGCAAGTGCTTTCGGAAGATATATTAGAAGAAATTGTAAAACAAATTCATTGTGGCAAATATTATTCAATCAGTGTTGACCCTACGCCTGATATAACACGTACAGATCAACTGACATTCATTATTAGGTAAATTTTTGTTTTTTTTCTCAGCTTTAACTTAGAGATGGAAACGACTCACTGATCTATTGAAAAATTGTGGCCATACAACATTTGTTCCAAAAAAAGTTAATGTGACTCGATGGTCAGGACGATTTATTGCATTAAAAGCTCTTAATTTATGCTATTAAGATATAAAGCAAGCACTTTTAGAGTTATTCTCTAACGACGACGAGAAGATGCCAGTTCGCTGTCAAACAAACAATTTACACGAAAAGATGGCTACGTTAAAATTTGGTATTTATGTTGCCTTTTGGTTCGAAGTACTGGAAAGAACTGACCTAGCGAGTAAATCTTTACAAAGCGAAAATATGGACTTACATACATGTTCGTCTTTGTATAGCTCATTACAAACATTTTTTACGAGTCTCTTCCTGATAAATGTAATTTATTGGAACAAAAGGGGCAGCTCTTACCACAACAAACGGAATACAGCAAAGAAATTAGAAGTCGCAAAAGAAAATTACAGTTTGACGAAGCAGATACAGAAGAAACCTTACACCGCAAAATAAGATTAGAACCCAAGTGCTGTATAAAACAATTGATTATTTGGCAAATAATTTGAAATCTAGAGGAAAAGCTTATGAAGATCTTGCCATCACTTTCTCATTTTTATTTTCTCTACCTCTTTCAGATGATAACGTGATTTCAGACAAAGCGTCGATATTAGTGAATATTTATTCGAATGACGTGGATACATCTCTAGTAAGTGAGTGTACATTAGGGTGGAGCGAAAAAATCGATATTTTTTTTTGACATTTGAATACCTGCGAAAAGTTGACCCTACCTATAGTATACTTGCTGCTAAAATTTCAGTAGAAAATAAAAATATCTTCAGGGCTCTACCTGCACATCAAAAAAGGAAAAAAATCAAGAAAAATCGATTTTATTTTTTTTTACTTTTAATAAATAAAAGAAGCTGCTTTTATCGATGTTAATTATTTTCTATTATTTAGTTAAAAATAATGTTATTAGAGCTCTATCTGTCACCCAAGTAAATATTTTGAGCAATATTTTTGGAAATAAAACAGATCAAAAATTTCATCAAATAATGTTCAATATTCGTCTTACAGGTAATTTTTATTAAATAAAGCTACGCCACTAGTAAAGGCTTTCCG